TGATAATATTATAACGTAATGCAATATAATACTACTACTAATAATATGATAGTATAATTATATATTTTATATGAAATATTACTAATAATGTTACGGTACAATGGTATAGTACAATATAGTAATATATAATATTAATATTGTGCTATGCTAATAATATAATATATTGTATACACATATAAGATTGATAATATTATAACGTAATGCAATATAATATTACTACTAACAATATGATAGTATAATTATATATTTTAATGTGTTGTTGAAGGCTTTCATGGCTGGAATCACTAGGTGGCTGCAAGTTTTCTGGGCGGTCTGGCCATTTTCCAGAAGCATTCACTCCTGAAGTTTCGCCTGCACCTATGAGGAAGTCTGCCATAGATGTGGGAGAAACGTCAGAAGAGAATGCTTCTGGAACATGGTCATACAATTCAGGAAACTCACAACCCAGCAAATCCTTTTAGCCAGAGTCCTCTGTGCTGGGCTGGTGGTTGGTGGTCAGATTATATAGAAGTAGGAGCCTTTCTGCTAACTTGGAAAGGCCTTTTTTTCACCCACAGGGAGCTGACTGAAATAAACAGGAGGCACATCACTGAATCCGTCAACTCCATCCGGAGGGTGAGTGTCCACTCCGTTCTGTTTTCATGTATACTTCATATGTGGTGGGACTGTGTGACAAGGTACAACTGTTTTGTAGGAAAATAAAAGGTGAAATGGAAGAAATAACTGGCTAAAAATGGAGCTGAATTTAAAAAAAATAAAGATTGCGTGCACTCTCTGCTTCATTTGGAAAAATGCTGCACTCGCAGAGCTCAGGCGGTGTTGTATTTCGGTGTCAAATGTTGACATCTGTAGACAGTCCACATTTTGCAGGCATATAGCAGGGTTGGGAGGACAATAGCTTTATAAACAAGCACCTTGGTTTCCCTATGGATGTCCCAGTCCTCAAACACTCTCTGCTTCATTCGGAAAAATGCTGCACTCCCAGAGCTCAGGCAGTGTTGTATTTCAGTGTCAAATATTGACAACTGTAGACAGTCCGCGTTTTGCAGGCATATAGCAGAGTTGGGAGGACAATAGCTTTATAAAAAAGCAACTTGGTGTTGTATTTCGGTGTCAAATGTTGACATCTGTAGACAGTCCACGTTTTGCAGGCATATAGCAGGGTTGGGAGGACAATAGCTTTATAAACAAGCACTTTGGTGTTGTATTTCGGTGTCAAATATTGACATCTGTAGACAGTCCACAATTCGCAGGCATATAGCAGGGTTGGGAGGACAATAGCTTTATAAAAAAGCAACTTGGTATCCCTACGGATGTCCCGGTCCTCAAACACTCTCTGCTTCATTCGGAAAAAAATGCTGCACTCGCAGAGCTCAGGCGGTGTTGTATTTCAGTGTCAATGTTGACTTTTGTGGAGACGTGGCTGCCGAGGTAGCAGAAATAGTCCACGTTTTGCAGGCATATAGTAGGGTTGGGAGGACGATAGCTTTATAAACAAGCACCTTGGTCTCCCTACGGATGTCCCGGTCCTCAAACACTCTCTGCTTCATTCGGAAAAATGCTGCACTCGCAGAGCTCAGGCGGTGTTGTATTTCGGTGTCAAATGTTGACATCTGTAGACAGTCCACGTTTTGCAGGCATATAGTAGGGTTGGGAGGACGATAGCTTTATAAACAAGCACCTTGGTCTCCCTACGGATGTCCCGGTCCTCAAACACTCTTTGCTTCATTCGGAAAAATGCTGCACTCGCAGAGCTCAGGCGGTGTTGTATTTCGGTGTCAATGTTGATGTCTGTAGACAGTCCACATTTCGCAGGCATATAGCAGGGTTGGGAGGACAATAGCTTTATAAACAAGCACCTTGGTATCCCTACGGATGTCCTGGTCCTCAAACACTCTCTGCTTCATTCGGAAAAATGCTGCACTCGCAGAGCTCAGGCGGTGTTGTATTTCGGTGTCAAATGTTGACATCTGTAGACAGTCCACGTTTTGCAGGCATATAGTAGGGTTGGGAGGACGATAGCTTTATAAACAAGCACCTTGGTCTCCCTACGGATGTCCCGGTCCTCAAACACTTTTTGCTTCATTCGGAAAAATGCTGCACTCGCAGAGCTCAGGCGGTGTTGTATTTCGGTGTCAAATATTGACATCTGTAGACAGTCCACGTTTGCAGGCATATAGCAGGGTTGGGAGGACAATAGCTTTATAAACAAGCACCTTGGTATCCTACGGATGTCCCGGTCCTCAAACACTCTCTGCTTCATTCGGAAAAATGCTGCGCTCGCAGAGCTCAGGCGGTGTTGTATTTCGGTGTCGATGTTGACTTTGGTGGAGAGGTGGCTGCCAAGGTAGCAGAAATGATCAACATTTTCTAATGTTACACTATGAAGCTGTATCTCTGGCATTGGTATCTCTTTCCACACTACTTATAAATCGAATAATAATAACAAAATATTAACAATGCATACTAAAGACCAGTGTCAGTTATCCATATCTTGTTTCCCCTTTGGTGTTGTTATGCTAGTAACTAGCATAAGTGGTTATAAGGGGATGGTGGGTGTTTCGTGCCCAAAGTCTGGGTGCTTCTCCCCAATAGATCCTTCTTTCTGTTTCAAAGCTCGAAGAGGCTCAGAAACGGCGCCAGGAGAAGCTACTGGGAGGCCATCAGGGAATCCTGCAGATGATTGACGAGGAAGAGCCACGGGTGAGTGCCACGGAAACGTCTGGGGGCATCCTAACCTGTCTAAAAGGAATTGAAGCCTGGGGGAACTGCAAAGGGTGAGGAGATGTTTTGGACTCCAACTCCCTCGTTGCTGTACTTGATGGGTGAAGCAGAAGAGAAGTGGAGCCAGAATGTTTTGGGAAGTTTCCTCGCCACCTTACCCAGCCTTCAGGCACTGCACCATAGAATCCCACAGCTGGAAGAGACCCCAAGGGCCATCCAGTCCATCCCGTTTCTGTCATACAAGGAGACACAATCAGAGCTCTCCCTACAGATGGCCATCCAGCCCCTGCTTTTAACCTCCAGAGATGGAGACTCCATCATGATCTTCCACTTCCAAACAGCTCTTACCGAATTGGGAGTTCTTCCTAATGTTTATTTATTTATTTACGACACTAGCCATCCCTTGCCACGCGTTGCTGTGGTCCACTCTGTGTATATGTATTTTGTGTGTGTATATATGTGTATATGTGTGCGTATATATGTGTGTGTGTGTGCATGCGTTGTAATGTATTTATACATATATATATATATTTGGCTTTTTAAGTATCTTCCACAGTGTTTTTCAGTGTTTTTATGAGTGATGGTCACTCGTTGGCCTGATAGGTTTATTGTGTCCAACTTTGGTGTCAATTTGTCCAGTGAATAGGAAAGGAAGGAAACAAGGAACGGGGAAAGAGAGAGGGTGACCTGGGAAGGAATCCCACGGGAGCATTGCAGCACACCCAAATACCTGGGAGTCACTCTGGACCGTGCTCTTACCTACAAGAAGCACTGCCTGAACATCAAGCAAAAAGTGGGCGCTAGAAACAATATCATACGAAAGCTGACTGGCACAACCTGGGGATCACAACCAGACACAGTGAAGACATCTGTCCTTGCGCTATGCTACTCTGCTGCTGAGTATGCATGCCCAGTGTGGAACACATCTCACCACACTAAAACAGTGGATGTGGCTCTTAATGAGACACGCCGCATTATCACAGGGTGTCTGCACCCCACACCACTGGAGAAATTACACTGCTTAGCGGGTATTGCACCATCTGACATCCGCCGGGGAGTAGCAGCCAATAGTGAAAGGACCAAGGCAGAGACATCTCCAGCTCATCCCCTGTTTGGGTATCAGCCAGCACGTCAACGACTTAAATCAAGACATAGTTTTCTTAGATCTACAGAGACACTCGCTGGAACACCTCAGCAAGCGAGAGTCCAAAAGTGGCAGGCCCAAACCCAGCACCTCAATCCCTGGGTGATACCAGATGAGAGACTCCCCCCTGGGCACACAGAAGACTGGGCGACTTGGAAGGCGCTGAACAGACTGCGCTCTGGCACCACAAGATGCAGAGCCAACCTTCAGAAATGGGGTACAAAGTGGAATCCTCGACATACGAGTGTGGAGAAGAGCAAACCACTGACCACCTGCTGCAATGCAACCTGAGCCCTGCACAATGGAGGACCTTCTTGCGGCAACACCAGAGGCACTCCAAGTGGCCAGATACTGGTCAAAGGACATTTAACCAACTACCAAGTTTGCAAAATCTGTGTGTGTTTTTTTTTTAATCTGTGTGTTTGTTTTGTTCTGTTAGAAATGTAATACAATGGTGTGGTTGCAGATGACACGATAAATAAATATTGCTGTGTTGTGGGCTTGTCCTCATGTAAGCCGCACCGAGTCCCTTGGAGAGATGGTAGCGTGGTAAAAAATAAATTATTATTATTATTATTATTATTATTATTATTATTATTATTATTATTGGCATCATGCAGTGGACTCACGTTTCGCTTGTGGTCCATTGAGACACCTCGATCTCTTTCACATGTATTCTTTTGTGTCTTGAAACGTATGTGGAGAGGGCAATGCTGTAACTGTATGTCAACCATATCTCTTCCTGTGTGTAATCTCCTCCTTTGTTTCTTCCGCTCAGTTGCTGGCCCAGCTAGACGGAGAGTGCAACCTGGAGGCGCTTGCCCTGCGCCAGGAAATTGGCCGCTACCTGCAGGAAGAGCTTGATGGCGGGGTCAGCAACGGGCACCCACCCCCCGGCACCAGTGCCAGCCCTGCCCCGACCGAAGAGGAAGAGTTCACGGTCCTTTGAAACATGGAGGTGGCAAGGGAGCAAGGGTCTCTTCCACCCATGGAGGAATATCTCCCATTCATCCCCTTGAGTAGAAGGGAAAGAAACCACACTAAAAGCACTTCGCTTTTGTTTTGTTTTGCTTTTTTTTAAAGAAAGAACAAATGTTTTATTTTTTTAAAACTAATTTTTTTAATTAACTAACTAACTGTAATGTTGTCTTTTCCGATTCATTGGTTTCGCCTCAAGGCTAGAGAAAGACCTGGGGGCGGAGAGAGAGTGTGAATCATTGGCCATGTGTGCAAACGCATGTGCCGAGCTCACCTGTGTTCTGGGGTACTGAAAAGGGAGTTGAATTTCTTTGGGAGATATTTTTAATGCACTGTTGGGAGCCAGGGGGCGGGATATTTCTTCATCGTGGTCGCTGTGAAATGCACACATATGTTATTTCCTGCGCTTGCACAGGCTGCTTCGTAATCTTCAGGTGCCCACAGAAGTAGTGGCCATAATAGTCCAGATAACTACCTCTACTTCAAAAATTCTTACTATAGGCTTCCCACCTTCTACTTCTCCTGCTGCTTAACCCAATCTAATCCTTTCCCAGGCTGGGAAGTTTGAGCTTCTTAGTCTTGACCGGCTTGGAGAGACGAACTTTCGGCCAGAGGTAGGAGGCCCTCTGAGCCACACCATTAGTCGAGGGAGCCGGTGGCTCCAATTGCTGTCTCTTTTTTTGTTGGGGAGGGGAATAAATCGTAAAGCAGAGACTTGTGATTTGCGAGCTTGGGGAGTGAAGGAAGGTATATACTGCAGATTGTACTGCATGACCTTCTTCTTAGCAGAGCAGTGCAATGCGTGCCCGTTTGTGTCAGGCAACTTCCCCTCACAGACAAAGTACTGTATATGTACTCTATGGGGAGTGGGCGGGGCTACCGGCATTTTGTACCAAAAGAGCTTTCTAGAGCAGTGGTTCTCAACCTGTGGGTCCCCAGGTGTTTTGGCCTACAACTCCCAGAAAGAAGATGTATTTTCCTACGATATAAATATGTAGCTGAAGGAGAAGAAAAGTACAGTAGAGTCTTGCTTATCCGACATAAACGGGCCACTAGAACATTGGATAAATGAAACTGTTGGTGAATAAAATCGGTTGCCTTCACCACTCCAGCTCATCCGTCTCCTCTCTCCTGTGCGCACTTCTGCCCAAGGACTGGGGGCGAGATCTCACCGAGGGCTCATTTGCTCCCTACAAATTCTGGGGGCTCGTCCGGGATTTTTGGGGTTGGTAAGAGGGGAGATGTGGGATCCCTTTGGTCCACCCGGCCCTAGACACCTAGAATACTAACAACAGGGACTTGAAGGGTTAAGGAAAGGGACTGGGGGCGAGATCCCACCGAGGGCTCATTTGCTCCCTACAAATTCTGGGGGCTCGTCCGGGATTTTTGGGGTTGGTAAGAGGGGAGATGTGGGATCCCTTTGGTCCACCCGGCTTTAGACACCTAGAATACTAACAACAGAGACTCGAAGGGTTAAGTGACCACAATAGTTTGGGGCTAGAATGGCACATTAGGAAGTGCCCGGATGCGGAAGAAGGACATGGAAATCACAGGGAAGGAGGGAGAAGCCTTCTGCTTCCGGTCCTACCTCTTTCCCCCCTTTCCTCCCTCCTCCTCCTCTCCCTTGTCTTGCCTTTTTCACTTATTGGGAATGGAAAGAGAGTTGGGGAGAACTTTAATTGAAGGAGAAATGCTGGAGGAAAGGGGGGCGTCGGATACGAGCATTGGGTAAGGCGGAGTGTTGGATAAGCAAGACTCTACTGTGGTCAAAACTATTCCTAGTCTATAACAATGATGCAAAAAGTCACCTAGTATACAGAGCAAGAGATTCCTAAGCCGCTGCAAGAGTAGCGGACAAAAAGAACTTAGGCAGTAGCCCCTCCCACTTGCTATATATATACTCTATGGGGAGTGGGCGGGGCTACCAGCATTTTGTGCCAAAAGAGCAGTGGTTCTCAACCTGTGGGTCCCCAGGTGTTTTGGCCTACAACTCCCAGACATCCCAGCCAGTTTACCAGGGATTTTTGGGGTTGGTAAGAGGGGAGATGTGGGATCTCTTTGGTCCACCCGGCTCTAGACACCTAGAATACTAACAGAGACTCGAAGGGTTAAGGCAAGGCAATGGCTTGGGGCTAGTCTAAAGAGCAAGAGATTCCTAAGCCGCTGCAAGAGCAGCGGACAAAAAGAACTGAGGCAGTAGCCCCTCCCACTTACTATATGTACTCTATGGGGAGTGGGCGGGGCTACCGGCATTTTGTACCAAAAGAGCTTTCTAGAGCAGTGGTTCTCAACCTGTGGGTCCCCAGGTGTTTTGGCCTACAACTCCCAGACATCCCAGCCAGGATTTCTGGGAGTTGAAAGCCAAAACATCTGGGGACCCACAGGTTGAGAACCACTGTTCTAGAAGATTCTGAAGCTGCTTGCGCATACACAGGAAATACCATATGTGTGAATTTCACAGGTGACCCTTTACATACACTTTCTCCCATGTAAAGGGGGCTAGGGAACCAAAAGGGCTATGTTGAATATAGTAAACCACTCCCCCGCCCTTACGTTTTTCAAGGGATGGTTGGAATGTAATGTACAGAAAAGAAGCCTATGTAGAGTTGAGTTGTTGTAAGTTTTTCGGGCTATATGGCCGTGTTCTAGAAGCATTCTCTCCTGACGTTTCGCCTGCATCTGTGGCAAGCATCCTCAGAGTTCAGACCTCACAACCTCTGAGGATACTTGCCATAGATGCAGGTGAAATGTCAGGAGAGAATGCTTCTAGAACATGGCCATATAGGTCGAAAAACCTGCAACAATGCAGTGATTCCAGCCATGAAAGCCTTCGACAATACTATGCAGAATTGCTTTGGCTGTCTCATAGGTAGTCCATCTCTCTCTTCCATCACCTTTTGCTACACCTGCGGAGAGTTGCATGCGCCGGAGGGCAATCTGTGGCGAAGGAAGTGCTCAAAACAATGCTTTACAACGAAAGGGGGTTCCTGGCTGCTTTTGGAGACGGAAGGACATCCATTGGTCTCCTGTTGTGGCCAAGTGACAATCTGGTCTCTCTTTTGCTCTGGATGTAATATTTCTTCTCTTGTTTTCTTTTTTTTTAAAGTAATAATAAACTCGTAATACAGTTACCTCCTTTTACTTCTTGGCAGTGGTTCACAAAAGGGATTTATGGCACACTGGATGCTCCGTTGCTGTATCTCTGTTTGTGTTGATACAAACCTGTCAGGTGTGTACTTTGCTAAACTCCCAGGGAGCATCCATCACTGCTGATCATCTCTTACCATCACAAAACCTCTTTTCCTGCAATTTGAATCATAGAATCCTAGCGTTGGAAGAGACCTCGTGGGCCATCCAATCCAACCCCATTCTGCCAAGAATCAGGAAAATCAAAGCCTCCCCAACAGATGGCCATCCAGCCTCTGTTTCAAAGCCACCAAAGAAGGAGCTTCCACCACACTCCCAAGGCAGAGAGTTCCACTGCTGAACAGCTCTCACAGTCAGGAAGTTCTTCCTAATGTAATATTATTCCAGGTGAGGCCTGGCCAAAGCGGAATCGAGTGGGACTAAGACTTCCCTCAATCTAGACCAGACATGGGCAAACTTTGTAACTTGGGGGCCACATGGTGGGCCGGAGCAGGGTGGGCAAGCCAGGAGGGGGTTCTCATCACTTCCTCCATTTCCTCTTCTCTTTCGGAGGCAGAAAGTGAAGGAAAGACGGGAAATGTTTCATAGAATTGTATCACAGAATCATAGAATCAAAGAGTTGGAAGAGACCTCATGGACCATCCAGTCCAACCCCATTCTGCCAAGAATCAGGAAAATCACATTCAACCCCCCCCCCCCCCGACAGATGGCCATCCAGCCTCTGTTTCAAAGCCACCAAAGAAGGAGCTTCCACCACACTCCAAGGCAGAGAGTTCCACTGCTGAACAGCTCTCACAGTCAGGAAGTTCTTCCTAGTGTTCAGGTGGAATCTCCTTTCATGTAGTTTGAAGCCATTGCTCCATTGCGTCCTAGTCACAATGTTTGCTCCCTCCTCCCTATGACTTTCTCTCACATATTTGTACATGGCTATCATGTCTCCTCTCAGCTTTTCTTCTGCAGGCTAAACATGCCCAGCTCTTTAAGCCGCTCCTCATAGAGCTTGTTCTCCAGACCTTGATCATTTTAGTCGCCCTCCTCTGAGCACATTCCAGCTTATTTATTTTATACTAGCCGTCCCCTGCAACGCGTTGCTGTGGACCACATGGGGGTTCTGTGTGGGAGGTTTGGCCCAATTCTATCGTTGGTAGCGTTCTGAATGCTCTGTGATTGTAGGTGAACTATAAATCCCAGTAACTACAACTCCCAAATGTCAAGGTCATTTTCCCCCAAAGGTTGGTTCAATTTCATCGTTGATAGAGTTCAGAATGCTACGATCTCTGATTGTAGGTGAACTATAAATCCCAGCAACTACAACTCTATTTTCTCCAGACTCCACCAGTGTTCACATTTGGGCATATCCGTGCCTAGTTTGGTCCAGATCTACAACTGAACTACAACTCCAAAACTTAAGGTCAATGTCCACCAACCCTTCCAGTATTTTCTGTTGGTCATGAGAGCTCTGTGTGCCAAGTTTGGTTCAATCCCATCATTGGTGAAGTTCAGAATGCTCTTTGATTGCAGGTGAACTATAAATCCCAGCAGCTACAACTCCCAGATGTCAAGGTCTATTTTCCCCAAACTCCATCAGTGTTCACATTTGGGCATGCATATTCATGCCTAGTTTGGTCCGGATCCTTCATTGTTTGAGTCCACAGTGCTCTCTGGATGAAGGTCAACTACAACTCCCAAGCTCAAGGTCAATGCCCACCAAACCCTTCCAGTATTTTCTGTTGGTCATGGGAGTTCTGTGTGCCAAGTCTTGTTCAAATCCATTGTTGATGGAGTTCAGAATGCTCTTTGATTGTAGGTGAACTATAAATCCCAGCAACTACAACTCCCAAATGACAAAAATCATAATTTTTTGAATGATGGTCACTCCTTGTGTTGTGAGAGGGCAACGCTTCAGGGCTAGACGGGCCGAGCAGATGCGAAGAGGAGCGTGGAACTCACAGAGGGAAGGAAGGAGGATGCTTGATCAGTTTAGTTGCCCTCCTCTGGACACATTTC